GATTCAATTCATCAGGCAATTATTAAATGCCTCTAAGCAAGGCAATGTGCTACGTGTTAAACATGCAGGAAAAATAGAACAGAGATGAAAAGAACAGAGATGGTAACAACAATGACTGACAGTACCTGCCTCTTCTTGAGGCTTTCCTTATTCAAAGACTTCATAGAAACATGAGGGGTTTTGGACGATGAGAGACAGAATGAAAAAAAAAAAAACTGAGAGCTCAGAGGACAGTGTGTGAGATGACCACATTGAACAAGTAAAGTCAACAGAGAACTCCAACAAAATAGGTGAAATAGGAATGTCAAAGTCAGTGCCACACTGTTAATGTTAGAGAGCTCATTTCTCCTTTCTGTTAACATGGATCAACTAACGGTAGGGAAGGATAATATCCTTAGTGATTAGGCTTATCTGCACATTTGTTTGGAGAAGACTTTTGTGTTAAAGATAAATAAATAAATGTTCTGAATCATTAAAAAAAAAAAAAGGAGAAACCAACAAGGGAAAATTCTCCTCTGGGTGTGGCCACCTCCTACAAGGAAAATCTCGTTGCTGGTATGGAAATTATTAGAACTCTTGGAGGGAAGAATTCTTCCCTCCAGAGGGTTATGTGATATGGAGGAGAGTCAAGCTGAACAGAGCATGAAATAAACTCTAGATTTTTTGCAAGTAGATTTGAAAGGTTCAGAGAAAGCATGGACTACGATTGCATGCTTGACAACTCTCCAGGCTAGTCATCCCATTTCAGGAGAGATGGGAAACTCTCAAAAATGAAATTATGAAGGCACTAAGAGAAATCATTTTGATGAAGATGAAAAGGGTAGGGGTTATCTGAAAAGACTAAGTTGAATAAAAAGGAAATTCATTGCCCAGCTTAGATTTTACAAAGATAAGTAGAAAAAATAGAAGAAGGGGAAGGTAAAAACATTCTGGTTCTGTAAAGGTGCTATTGCCAACACAAAAACACAGAATAGGTGGATTCTGACAAAGAAGATAAAGAAGACCATTGTATCCTCCCTCCCTCCCTTCTTTCCATCCATCTTTCTTTCCTTCCACTATATTTGGGAAACAGGGATACCAAGAAAGGATGGACCCACTGCCCAAAATGCCATCTGGGTCAAAGAGAGGGCAAAGATGCTTGAGTCTTTTTTTGTTTGTTTGTTTGTCTTGTTTTTGTTTGTTTGTTTTTGTTTTTGCCAGGGAGGATAACTTTTGGACTAAAAGGACAGAGAACAAGTGACTGTAAATCAGATAGATAATATATGAAAGATAGATGATGGATAGTGAGAGGATTTCTAGATGCCCTTGAGCTCAAAAACCACTTGATACAATCAGTTAATTCTTTGGTGCCAAAAGCAGTGGCAGATAGAATCTCTGAGCCACTGTAAATGAACTCTGAAAGGTTGTGGAGAATTGGGAAATTATTACAGAATTGAATGTAGGCAAACATTGACCTACTTTTCAAAAAAAGGAGGAAAATTGATCCTGTAAAAATGTTATGGAACTCGAATTTAATTCTTGAGAAAAAAAGAATATCTTTAAAATATTTTGGGGGCATCTAGAAAGGAAAGCCATGGTCACCAACAACCAATGGTCTTATCAGCATCACTTTATGCCAGTCTCCTTATTTCTTATTTCAATAGAGCATACCAAGAGGTAGCTCCAGGAAATGACATGGGTGCCACTTATTTAGGTTGGAAAAGTTGGAAGGCTGTGAGCTAGATGATGGTGGCATTAAATGGGCTTGAAAGTGATTAACATTTCAGAACCAAGGAATGATCACTAGTGATTCCAGGTCAATTTCATTCTATAAGGACTTCAGTGGAATGAGCTCCTTGGGTATCAGTGTTGAGACCTGTGCTGTTAATCATTTTTATCACTGACTTGGATAAAGGGATAGGTGTCATAATTCTTAAAGTTTTAATGGCTTAAAGCTAGGAACTATGTCTAGCACGCTAGATATCAGAGTAGGGATCTAAAATGGTGTCAGCAGCTTAGAAGATTTTGTTCAACTAAATAAGATGCAATTTAATGAGGCAAATGTCAACTTTAACATTTGGGTTCAAAAACTCAATTTCACTCCTACAAGATGGGAAGGTGCAGTGAGATAGGAGTTTATTGAAATCCAGCTGGGGATGTTAATGAACTGCAAGCCTGATGTGCATCACATAATTCCCCATATGACGTAGAGGTCAAGATAGTTGATGTGATCTGTATGAAGTCAGGTGGAATGGCCAGGATCAGAGATCTCTTAGCCAGGCATCATCTAGACAACTGTGTTCAGTCTGGGGTACTTACCACCTTCTAGGTAAGACATTGATAAACTAGGGACGAGGACAACCAGGTGACTGAAAATCTCTCTAAGCCTTGGCTTGTTTAACCTGACGAAGATAAGACTTAGTGAGGACTTGATGTCTTCCTCTAAGGATCTGAAAGTTTGTTATGTTACAGAGGGACTGCACCTGTTCTTTTTAGCTGCCAAAGGCAGAATGAGGGGTGATGATTGAGAGTACAGAAAGGAAGATTTGGGCTCAAAATCAGCGATCAAAGAAACAAACTTTCTAGCAATTAGGACTAACCTGATGTATGCTTCCTTGGGACAAATCCTCTCTCCCCTCTTCCCTCCCTGCCTCCCTCCCCTCCTTCTTCCCTTCCCTCCCTCTCCCCCTCCAAAGGTTTGTAAATAAAAGCTGTATGTGAACTTATCTGGTGTGTTGTAAGGTAGAATCTAGTTTATATATGTATTGGGATAAACAGATGGCAAACAGATAGACAAATGATAGAAAGATCTGATAGATAGACAGACATAGAGAGAGACAAATAGATAGATATAAAAATTTAAACAGCCAAGACAGTTGCTGTCACTAAAGAATTTCTTTTGCAATTGGGAAAGACAGAAAATAAAGGGGAGCAGAGGAGGCAGGAGGGAGAGGCGGGGCATATGTGGTGACAATGCATGGTGGTGCCCAAGAAGTAAAGTAGAGGTCTGATTTCAAGCAATTGGAAGTGAAAGGTCCTTTATAAGGGTCTTGAGCCCAGGGGCAGAATGCAACTTTCTGATGAGATGGGAATTCAGACATTGGCTGGAAGGCCAGCAGAATGATAGCAGGTGTCAGGTGGAAGGGAGGCCAGAATGTCAGGCTTAGAGTCAGGAAGATTCGACTTCTACTTCTGCCTCAGATACTATGCGACCTTGCACAATTCACTTATCCTCTGCCAGCCTCAGTTTCCTTGTCTGTCAAGGGGGATAAAAATAACACCTACTTAATAGCACTATTTTTTTTAAGGCAATTGGGGTTAAGTGACTTGCCCAAAGTCACACAGCTAGTATGTGTCAAGTGTTTGGTTTGAGGCCGGATTTGAACTCAGGTCCTCCTGACTTCAGGGCTGATGCTCTATCTACTACGCCACCTAGCTGCCCCTTAATAGCACTATTGTAAGGATCAAATGAGAACAGAAATGAAATATTTAGCAAACCTTGAAGCATTATGTACACGCTAGCCATGGTAGGGAAAGGGGAAGGAATGAGTGCATTTAGATGTCACCTACTTTGGGCCAAACATGGCACTAAGTGCCTTACAAGTAAATGGCCAAGAAGCGATGTGGAGACACGGATTCAGGTAAGGCCAGGTCAAAGCTCACGTAAGCAGAGCCTGGCCTCACAGGGCAGTGCGTGTGGTTGTGAAGGCTGGGGCTGAGGAGGCTCTCGGGAGGACAAGAAGCATGGAGAGCTAGGGAGGGAGCAGGAGGTGGGCTGCAAGTCCTCTGACTGTGCTCTGTGTGTTGTAAGCTCCCCGAGAGCAGACACTGGGTGGGCGAATGCATACCCCTGGTAAGCCCCCAGGACCAGGCTCCTACTAAGACTTCCAGGAAGAGTTACTAATTATCAGTTCTTTTGTCGTTCTTGTTTTCCCTACAGCCTGGGAATCAGCATAATGTTTGCCTCAGAATCTTAGCTGAAGCACGTTGGCTGCTGATCTCTTAATGATGTCTTCTCGTCCCATCATACTGCCCATCATGTACCTCTGTGGCCTACCTATGGAAGGCAAGCCTGGAAGGAGGCTGCAGAATCTTTTCCTGCAATGAGTTGGAATATCTCTCTTTGGAAGACAGGATAAGTGAGAGGGTAAATGGCTACTCAGCCCCATCAGTACAGAAGATTTTTTTTCTGGCTCCTGTTACCTTAGCCTTTACTTTTGCTTCTCCATATAAGATCCCTGTTTATGATGGTTAGAATCATGCTATCCAAAGACTCAGAATCTCCCCCATACTCTGCACCTATAAATGTGGCCTATTAGAATATCCAATGACTAGAGATAAGAAAAAGACCTTTGGAAAACCACTGAGAGCCTTTTTGCTTAGACAACATATTAACCCAACCCTAGTGATCACAGGCTTTGTTTGCTAAACTTGACACCCTTCCAGGTGTACCCTGGGCTCTAATCTTGAGGCTTTCAAGCTAAATTTTCTATAATAACTTTTTTTTTCTCACTCTGATGCAGAACTGCACCATTATAAAAGGCATCATTAAAACACAGAGAATGTGGCTCCCCAAAGGAAGGTGTTCAGAGCACGCCATACCTAACATTCTGAAATTCTCATAGGATGAGATGAAATATCTAATTGACTATCCTTTAATTAAAATCCACCCAGTAAATCTTCCCCAATCTCCATGGAATTATGAACCGTTTCCTTTTACAGCCTGATGAACCCTCCTTTTCTCAGACATGACCTTCCATTGCATGTTTTGGACAAATTATAGATTGGAAAAAAAAAAAATTGTCAGCTATATGGGGCCAGAATAGCATTACAATACATTTGTTTTCCTTTTCTGATAAGTATCACAAAACTGTGGAATTCTATCCTCAGCACATGGCTTGTTTAAAAACATTCCATGGGACACTTTTGCAATGCAACTTGACTTCCCTTCTCTAGGAAACAACGAACACTGAGGGGAAAAAGGACAATTTGTGTATTTGTGAGTTTTAGAATGTGCTTACCAAGGTGATCCTGGGACAGGCGTGGATGCCACAGGTTTATTGCCTCTGGGTGAGCTCTCATCTCCATGTATTAGCAGTGAAGGGTCCTTTACACAGAAACAGAATGATATTGGTAAAAAGGAGAAATCAACAGAGATACAGCTGATGCTATGCCTGAAGCATAATGTCATGCTCCCACAAAACAGGCTAAGGTAGCCCCTGTGAAATCATGGTTCTCAGCACAGTCACAGCAAATTGGAAAGCATAATTCATCAGGGATGCCCCAACCATCCACGCAACATTCCAGGCAAAGGTATTTAACTCATTACCATGAATAATCTGGATTGGCAGTGCAACACTGGGAATGTCTCCCTGGAAATAGAGAAAGCCATTGCAAGCCTGCAACTCTCTGGGGATGACTTAATGATTTCAGAACACAAAGTAACTTGTAATTCAGCTTCAGAAGAACATGGGGTTCAGTGGCCCAGGAAATGAGGCTTGCTGAAAGGCTGACACTATATACTCAACCTTGAGGCAATCAGGCTTCCACACCACAAGCGTGAGAAGAGTGGGTAGGTGGCCTTGATGACAGAAACAAAGTGGAGTCACCACTCCAAAAGCAAATTGATCAAAGGCATAGAGGAAAGCAAATAGAAAAATGACCAAACCCAGACTCTCATTCGTGACATACTCCATCACAGCAAGAGCATTCCCAACATTCACCTCCCTGCATCATCCCTCCAGGAGAATCCTGAGAAGAAGGCTGATTTCCCAGAAACCTCTACAACATGACAAGCATAAGAAATGGGAAATATCCAAGGAAGCCCATCACAGTGGAGTGCATCCCACCCAGTCTTGGCTCTGAAAGGAACCAGAAACTGATTAAAATAAGTTATCCCTTACAGATCTCGACATTTTTGCTTAAGACTGCAGTAAAAGACTGTGCTACTCTCAAAGGGCAGGTAGCAGAACATCAAGGCCTTAGAAGAAAAGAAAAGGAGTCTTTGACAAGGAATATGTGTAAATGATAAAGAATCTGGAGCCTAGAAGGTCCCCTTAACCGTGGAGATGGTTTTCATTTAAATGTTTTATAAATAATACTCTAGCCTAGGGAACATGGAAGCTCTATAGAGTGTAATCTCCCCATTTTATTTTAAAATGTATTTAACTTTCTAGATAAGATAAAAGGAATACCCTTCTATCCAGAGGGTAATTCAAGGTTTTTAAATTTAAAGGAAATATTTGTTTAAATTTTCCTGTTAGACTGAAAACAGTCAAGAGAAAAACATAAAAAAGGAATAAAGGGAAAAACAACAAAGAAAGGAGGTAAGATATGGCCGTGGTTTAGTCTAATCTTTAAAAGGGATGCAGCTAAAAGTCCCCTATGAAAAAAGTTTATTCTATTAAAAGAAAAAAAAGAAAAGAAAAAAGGAAAAGCCAATGAGGGTCTCATAGAGAAATAGCCGGTGGCCTGTGGATGGAGCACCAGGTCTGGAGTCTGAGTTGAAAACCGGCTTCAAACACTTACTAGCCATGTGACCCTGGGCAAGTCATTTAACTTCTCTTTGCCTCAGTTTCCTTAATCATAAAATGGGGATTTTCATGGCACCCACATCCCAGGGTTGTTGTGAGGCTCAAACAAGATCATGGGATAATATTGGTGACAGCATTTAGCCCAGGGCCTGGAACATACGAAAGGTGCTATTTTTAACATGCTCATTTCCTTCCTCCTTTCATCATACGTATCTTAGGGGGCACAAATGGTGCAAATGGTGAGGAGAACATTAGTTCATTTCTTAGGTATATATGGTAGGAGGCCCTGCTTGGCAGGACGCTCAGCTGCCTGTAATTTAATGTTGTTTCGACATATTGGTAATAAAAGTGGTTAAACTCACTATCAAAACACTGCTTCATTACGGAGTAATAAAAGTCTTCCAGAATACAATGAACAAGAAATTATTTATTAAAAGCATGAGAAAGGTTATTTGCTTTAATTAACATGGGATACGGGTATAGATGTTCATTCATCGCTTCTAGAGAAATCACCCATTAGAGAGAGAGAAAAAAAAAAGGGGGTAATTTGCCTTAATGTTTGTGATCAATGTCTGTCCTTTAACATCAACATTAATGATCTGGAAGAGATAGAGTATGCAGTAATTATGGGCCCAAATGATGCTAAATGAGGGATGTGTATGAATACCAGTGAGACTACAAATATCTGGAAAGTGGATTGGAAAGGGAAAACATGCACACAAAATTCTATGAATTTGGGAAAGAAAAATGATGCCTGATTAGAAACGGCTAGGAAGAGAAGTGACAGAGAAAACCAGATGCAATGTCTTCGGCGTTCCAAATATGACGATGAAAACACCTCCTTTGGACTGCATGGAGGGGGTGGGGCTTCTTTTTTTTTCTTGAAGAAAAGGGATGAGCTTCTAGACTCTTGTAAAATATTTGTAAATAAAAATGCAAATTCGACCCCAAGGACCTCCGTTTGTAAAATGATAAATCAGAAGAGTGATCACAAAGTACAGGCTTGGATCTCTCCCTCCTTTTCTTTCTCTCCTTCACCTCTTCCTCCCTGCCCTTTTCCTCTCCTTGATATATTGGCCAAAAGGGCCCACTGGTTGCCCACATATTTGCTTGGTAAGACTGGCCTTTCAAGAAGAGGCCCAGTCTTGGTGCTCAGAGCATACTCAATACCTTCCCCAGGGGCTAGACCAGGGGTGGGGAACCTGAGGCCTAGAGGAAGGATTTGTTCTGTGAAGTCTGGATTCAGTCAAAGGGCAGCACTTGAGGACCTAGAGCACCATGTGTGACCTCGACCCTACAGGGTCCCCATTCCTGGGTTAGGCCCAGCCAGAGTTTGCATGCCATTCTCCTGGCTTCCTAGAAGTCAGCTTCTCCCCTGGGAAGAAGTCATGGGAGAACCATTCAGAAAGGAAAATTGAGTGATCTAAGTGATCCTTCCAAATCATTAGAGCTGCCCTAACATGGAATGGCTTCCCTCAAGGGGAAGGGTGGTTCTTCAAGTGAATGGTAGAAGACAGCTTGGTGGTACAGTAGATAGAGTCCTGTGCCTGAAGTCAGGAAGACCTGAATGCACAACCAGGCTCAGACACTTACCAGCTGTGTGACCCTGAGCAAGTCGCTTAACCTGTTTGCCTCAGTTTCTACATCTGTAAAACGGGAATAAAAATAGCACCTACCTCCCAGAGATCAAATGTGATAGTAACTGTAAAGTGCTTAGTACAGGACCTGGAACATAGTAAATGCCATATAAATGTGAGCTATCATCAGTTTTTAGAAGGGGACCTCGTCTAAGTATCAATTGGAAGAGACAGATATTAAGGTCTCTTTAAACTCTGCGATTTTAAAATCCTCTGACCGCGAATAGGAATGAAGGCACTAAGGCCTGTATTTGAATCTTGTACCCAATCAAGTTTATTCTGTCAACGTGCAGTTCACCCACACCTAGGTGGGATGGAGAGGGTGGCGCTGAAGGACCAATGATTACCTTTCCCAGATTCTATTGCACAGGGCCCAAGCCAAGTCTGTGAGGTTCTTTGGTTGTCCACCTTACCTGTGTCTCATTCTCAATATTTTGGGGGAGGTAAAACTTTCCTCTCTTTTCTGAAATAACCTTACATTCCTATCCTATCCGGGTTCTTCTTCCCTTACTGTATTTAACACCAGGATTCTTACTGTGGAAAAGGAGAGATTTTGAGCAAATGTTTTTGGAGTTTTGTTGTTGTTTATCTGTTCATTCATTCATTTTATCTATCTAAATGTTTGTTTGTGTGTTTATTCATTTATTTTGCCAAAATAAGAGAAGGAAACTTTTTAAACCGATGAAATTTGCTGGCTCTACATCCTAGGAATTCAATATTCCCAAATAAATGAATGAGTGCAAACTCATGAATTTATAACAAACCTTGTCCTCGTTGTCTTGAGCTGGAAGCTGTCTCTCTGTGTGTAAGATCAGCGTTGGGGGACAAGAGGATCTTCCAGGCTCTCTGCCATTATCTGGAAAGGGACAAAGATGCAATTACCAAGTGCCAAGCGGTGTCTGAATGACTGGGTGAATTCCATTGGTATCAATGCCTCGTTGCAGACCACGTCGCTGCCTTCATGACAGCCCTTATTCTCACCTCTTTCTTGACCCTTTCCCTTATTTTTATCCTGTCCAGCAGCTCCAGACCCAGCCCCTCCCTCCTCCCTGGCCTCCCAGTGCTTCTTTAGGTCTATTTCTCCTAATTAGAAGGCAAACTTGTCTTAGCTCCATTCTGGTACACAGTAAGTGCTTAATAAATGATATGTCTAACTGCTTAACTTAGATGTGATACAAAGCCTACTTCAACAATTTGGATCTTGTGATAAATGCTGAATATCTCCCATCTGAGAGGAAGCAGCATCAGATTTCCAGGCCAGCTGGGGTCTTGTTTCCTTCGCTAAGAAAGAAGGCAGCCTGAGAAAAAGAGCAAAAGCTTTACATCCCTTAACCTTTGGAGGCTTCAGTTCCTCATTTCAAACACGAAGAGGTTCCTTGTAACTTTGATGCATTATGTGCTTATTATATATACATTTTATAGGTAAAATCACAGTTGTGCACTGGAAAAAATATTCTTTACGCTAAAGCAGAAATTTCCAGTGTCTAAAATGTGTGATGAAGTCAGGTCCATGTTCATAGCAAAAGCCTTAGATGGAGGATCCATGAAAATGCCACTCATTCATTTCTGGAGACTCCACCTGCACAGTGATAGTGAGACTCCACACAACGCTAACTCACCAAAGAGGAACCGGCTTGTTGGACTTAAATTTCGGACCCTGGGCCAAGCACCGAGGAGAGAGGGTTTTACTGAAAGTGTTGAATTGCAGTCATTTTGTCTATTTACTCAAAATAAAGCCGGAAGGCAAAAAGAACCTGCAGTTAGATGGAAAGAAAGCCTCCAGGCTCCCTTTAGAGAAGTAAGACTTTGTGGAGTGTGCTTTATTCTGGGTCTGAAGGCAACAAGAAAGAACATTGCCTCAAAAACTTGGTCATCTTCAACTGCATGTTCATCTTATACATTGTCAAAATGTCGTCAGGCAATGGATACACTGACACGGATAACAGGGTGCAAAGGGAAAGATATCCTATGAAGAATTACATAAGACACTCCAAATGAAATCAATATAAAATGAAACATTCGGTGCATTCAATGAAAAAGTAGGCTTAGGAGAGAACAGGAACTCTAGTAGAAATTGTGTCTCTCTGGGGTGAAAGGCCGTGCACTAGATGAAAACAAATGCCTCCTTTATGGAGCATGGCAACTTGCCTTAAAAAGTGTGTCAGGAGGAGGGGCTGGTCATAGCTAAGATGTAGGTATGGACCACTGAGTATACCACAAAATCTAGCAGGTCCCACACCAGACAGGCTTCACTTCCAACCCAGTTGAACCATTGAACTATCTTGCTGTCTTCCCTGTCCTCTGCCCCATCCCATCTTTTCATCTCCTGCTCTGGCCATAATGATCAAGTCAATGCCACAGTAGCTCCTGGAAGAGTCATAGAAATTGAATGTCCTGAGGCTCCACTCACCAAACTCATGATCGCACAGACAGAAACACCTTCGCCTAGACACCATTTCCTCTACGTGTCTACCCTTGAGGGTAGAGGCTATCTCACTTTTTGCACATTTATTCCTAGGACTTAACATAGGGTTTAAAACACCGTCAGGGCTAAATTATGTATTTGTTTTCATTCAATCATTTAATCCTTTCACCTATTCATTCATTTATTCATTCATTCATCCATATACAAAAAGTAAAGTGATTATAATTAAAGACAAGAAATTACTTGCTATAGTTATGGGAGGACATATTTCAATCAGTCACTTCTGCATAGTAGAGACAATGACTAGTTAAAGCAAGACTCAAAACCAATACCAAAATGTATTTCCCTCCCCCCAAAAAATAAGAATTTATCTGCACAAGTGAGACAAGTTCTGACATATTAAAATAAATGTTGACACTGAAAAATGGAAAAGGGATGAAAGAACAGACATCAACCTTGATTATATCCATTCCCTAAGACAATTAGGTGGTATAATTCAATTCCCATGAAACCAAAAATGCCTAAAACCTGTCAAAGTCATGAAATGCTTCATTTTGCATGGTAATCAAAGAGGTTTCACAGACAAAAACAGTATTAGTTCACAAATTGGTTTGAAGAGTCGTAGAGGAGGATATTAAAACAAAACAAATGAGTTGTGCTACTTCATAAATCAATGAGAAACCATGGAGTAAAAAATAAGATTATAGAAAGCTAGACAAGTGATCCAACTTAGGGAAAGTATCCCAAAGACATTTTAATATCTGACAGTTTAGAGCATTAGACCAATCAAGTGATTTCAGAGGAATCAATATAGCATTTTATGCAAGTTCCAAAATTCAACTTCACAAGTGAAAGATTGGGGAGGCCAGGTTAACCAGAAATTTAACTGATAAAAATGTTGGGGTTTTAGCAGTCCACAAGCTCAATATGTGTCAACTGTGGCATATGGTAACCAAGAATTGTAATGTAATTTTAGGCTGCATTAAGAGAATTATAACTTTTAGAAAAGAAGAAGCAATAAGTGCATTATCCTCAGCCCTGCTCAGGTGACATCTAGAATGTGACTCATATCTCTGAGTGAGGAATTTTAGGAAGGACATTAATAAGCTGGAAAACAGCCAGAACAGCTTGCTGTGTATATAAAAAGTCCCAGAGTCCACAGAGTAGGAGGATCATTAGAAGGACCTGGGCTGGTTTAGCTGAGAGATTTGGGACAATGACAATGGGCATCCTCAAGTGTTTGAAAGGCTGTTAAGCGGAAGGGATATCAGGCATTCAATTTAACGCTAAAGTACACCAACAGAAACAATCACGAACATTACAAATGAAAATTAGGATTGGAGTAAGTAAAAACAACAACAAAAACCTTCAAAATTATTAGGAGTTTCAAAAGTGTAAGGGGCCATTTTGGGAGAGACTGGGTTTTGCCTCTTTGGAGAAGGTCGATGAGAAAGGGGCCGATGGATACTTGTTTTAAGGTATAACAGGAATTATTTTGAACTCTTGGACACTGAGCTCTTGTCCAAATGGAATTTTGTGATTCTGTAAAGAAATGCAACCACAAGCCAGACAACAAAGAAAGCAAAGTACAGATTTAGAGAACAAACCTTTTTGTTTGTTTGTTTGTTTTCAGTAATAGTGGGGCCGTCATATTTAATCTGGAGTATCAGGGACTACTTGAGGAAGTAGAACTGACATGACAGAAAACTAACAAGAAGACCATCGGGGACCGGCCAGGAATAAGCATCGGCGTCTCTGGCTGCTGGTGACACACAATGTTGAGCGAAGATGGAAGCATTAACTTCTGAGGTGGCTCAAAGATCAGAGGACATCAAACAATGAGAAAAAAAGGTCACAGTCATTAGAAGCTCCCTCCAAATCAAGCAATAGAGGGAAGCATTGATAAGTACCCACTTAAATGCTTGCTCCTCCAGAGCCACAAAATCTTGAGGAGAATTAAAAGAATCCTCGAAGAATCTGTGATCAGGGCCCAAGGAGGCTTGCACAGATGCTATTCCAGAGAAGAGCATGGAGTGACCATCACAAATGACTAAAGAACACAGGATCACACCTCACTTCTTTTTTGGTAGCTCTTAAAAACAAAGCAGAAAGATAAGAAGGCAGCATCAGTCTCCCCTCCGACAATGTGTCTCCTTTGCAGGTGTCAACGTTCCACAATCTTCCATGAAAGGTGGGTCAACAGGGTTAACTGTGCCAAGACCCTCTGATTAAAATATAGGAATTAAAATAATTGGGAAATACAGCAGGGAGGAGTTCACCCGCCAAAAGAGTTTGCTCTCATCCTGATGGGGGTCCTAGTGTGGAATCTAAAAGGAAGTGACCTTTCCTATGCTTAGGAAACTTCTCCAGATATTCCTCATCACAGATGACATGGTACTGATTAGGTCCAGTCCTGAAGCCCTGCAGAATCTGCTAAAGAAGCTCTAGAATCAGGAGGTAGGCTGAATTCTCTACATGTTGGGAGGGACTGGATAAAGAAGGTCTTCAGATGATGGTATGGAGTTGGACGGATCACCCACAGGGCTGGTCCATCAGCACAGATAGACAGCAACTTGGCATGGATAATGAACACAGGAGGGGGGAGTAGGATAAAGGATGGTTGGGGATTAATTTGGTGCTTTGACTAGTCCCAAAGTTCTGCTTGAAACCAATTCTAGTTTCATGTCCCCTAAGAGCAGCAGTAAAACAGATATCTTCAGTATGTGGGCTTCAACATATTGCCAACAAAGAACTTCAAAAGCATTCACATCAAAGAGATAAGTGATTGGGCAATGAGGTGGCCAAGGGAAGAGCCGGCCACCACACCGTTATCCAGAGGTAGACTCCCTTAATACGGGTCTTTGAAAGGATGTGGGACTAGAGATGACTTCAGTTCCCATCTCCACTCTTGGAGGGAGCACTGATACTGAGGAGATCAAAGATACATCCAAATATCAAATGATCCATCGTTAAAATAAATGCCTGTTTGGAAAGGGAAAAAGTAATCTAACTTTTGGTCCAGTCCTCCCATGACGTTGGGGAAGAGAACGCCCAGTGAGAAAACTTCCTTTTTCAAATAAAAAAGTGGAATTGCTCTACAACCTATTTTCTTAGAGAGTTATCGAGGACACTGGGGGGTTAAGTGACAATCGCCTGTATACGCAGACCATTTCTGTTCAAAGATGGCACTCAGAGCGAGGCCTCTGTCCCCTATGCAACACAAGTGTTTGTATACACATCTGGACCTCAAAAATCTACATTACACAAACATACACAAAAGACCGCATAGCACAACGGGGGCAAAGCTGGCCATGGAGTCATGAAGACCTGGGTTCACGGAAATACATACTTGAAGCTTTGTGAGCCCCTAATCTGGGTGTACAGGCTCTCAATTACCTGACGATCCTGTGACAATAAATTATAGATGAGTT